ATTAATTTTTTCTAAACTAATTTTTAAAATTTTTTCAAAAACTTTATCACTTATAATGTGTTTATTATATCACTCAATGAAATATTATTTTCAACAATGATAAAACTCTAACACACACGCGCACACTTATGTACACAGATGTATAGGCCTTTGTTCGTTTTTTCATTAATCTACAATATCACCTTGCTTTTAATTTTGTAAAATTAATTTTTAAATAGTTCTTGTTGTTGCTGTTAAATACGTTGATTAATGTTTTGCTGTTACAATTGTGTTTCATATTTCTGTATGTTATCTAGCTTGTATAGAAGTATATTTATGAATAGTGTATGTGTGTATATGTCTGTGTGGTGTGTTTATGTGTGTGTATGTGTATTTACGTGCGCGCGTTACATATATCATAAATCTTTGCCTTTTTAAATAATAATACAATTGAACTGATTATTTATATTGTGGTCTGCTTGGTGGACTGTATCATTATTTTAAACTTGAATATGTGTAGCTATGTCTGTTTATTTTTACTCTTAAATTATTCTTATTCGGCTATTTGTTTGAATTATTAGTTTCTATTTTGGTGATGCTCTTTTTTGTTCGTAGCCTAAACTCTGTTTGTTCATATCTATACGTATGCAATGCAAAACTTACAGACCGACATGAATTTTTTTATTCTTATAAGTTTGCGATTTAATTAATCATTAACTAATGCAAATGTTTTTAAATTTGGTATTTCAAAAATTTAAACTTTCTAAATGATGCTGCTGGTTATACGTGTGCTTATATATATTGAATTATGAAAAAATTAAAAGAAAATTTTAAAAATATATTAAAAAAAATATTTGCGAGGTTTTCTTGGAGCGCCAACAAACATTCAATCGAACATACCTACCAACAGTTTCGGAGTTTAATGAAGCAAGAAAGACACATGGCTGCTTTGCTTTTATTAGATATCATTTAAAAATAAAAAAATGTGAATTTTTTAAAATTTCGGATTTTAAACAAACGAATATAACGAAATATCGACCGTTAAAAAAATATTTATTATTATTATTTATTGTTATATAGTGATGATGTTTTAGTCCTATGTTATAAAATCAATTCCCTTTCGGTTTCGATTATTTTCAGGTATAAAATTTAGAACGAAATTCAACTCAACAATTTTTTGTTTTTAAATTTTATTGAAAAAAGTCAACAATTAAAATATTAAAAACAAATTATAAGTCTTAAAATGTATGTCAGAACTCAGAGTAAACATTTATCTGATTATATCGTCCAGCCGCCTTCAACGTTCAATCAACTTTTTGTTTCTATCATCAAATGCACTCCTTAGAAGTTCTCGAAGGATAATCACCCACGTAACATGAACATTTAGTAAGAACAGTTCACAGCATATCATAATGGCTAAATCAACATACCAAAAAGAAATTATTTATACATGCATATATGCAAAGTAAATCAAGAAATACCAAAAATTATGTAACCAAATTAAAAAAAAACTTGAAACCAGTCAACATTTAATAAATAAATAGAAAGACATTATTAAAAAAACTGTTTATAAAAAAGTAAAATTTAAGACGACGACGAAAAAAAATTTAGTATGTTTTGTTTTGTTGGTGTGATGGTATGAAGCAAAAACAAACACATAAAAAATAGCTAAAAGTCGAAATATAGTAGTCAGTCACCTACCTACAATTAAATTACTCTCAGGGCCCTAGCTTACCTATAATGATTAACTCATCTCGCCTACCTACTTACAAATTTGTATTTTCACGTTCTAGAAATTTTACATGTTTAGAGTAATTTATTTTACATATTTTAACGTTTTTATTTTATTTACGATTGTTCGACTCATCTCAACCCCTAACTTACCTACGAATTAAATTAAAGTCCGGTAAAGAGAATAGAAAGTTAAAGAGAAACATAACAACAACGACACCGAATGAATGGATGTTGCGTATGTGTGTGTTGTATTGATGTGTGTGTGTAAATGTGCGCGCATGTAATCTCCAGAAACTTCTTCTCTCACTACGGACAAACATCCATTGCACCGACCATCATCTGAGACGAACCGAATAGCCTTTATTGTTATTGTTGTTATCTTGATATATTGTTGAATCATCATGAGACCACCGTCTGAAACGTGCTGACGCCCACCACAACCCACCTCTGATCATTCTGTAGACAAATTTTTTTATTGGCTTAGTAGTAAATGAATGTTAGAACGAAAGAACAAACGAATGAATGATTGGTTGATAGATAAAATGAATGAATGAATTAATTAATTAATCAATCAATGAATCAACGAATGAATAGAATGAATCAATTAGTCAATTAAATAATTTGAAATATTGAGTGAGAAAATGAATGAATGGGGAAAAATAAAAAAACGAAACTAAACCTTACTTCAAAAATTTTCGTTACTGTACTCCATTGCACCGACCATCACCATCTGGTCGGCACACAAGATGTCATCCGAACTGCAAAGTGTCAGTCGAACAGCCAACGAGCTGATTCTTCCTACACCACCATCATCATATGTAAATCATCAAGAGAGACCACAATCTGAAACGTGCTGACGCCCACCACTGCCCACCTCTCATCATTCTGTAGACAAAATTTTTTATTATATTTTTTTTTATTATTTATTAGTAGTAAATGAATGTTAAAATCTTAAAAGCAAAAAATTATAAAATGAAAATAATGGCAAATAGATAATATTTTAAAATAATAAAGAGTGAAATGTAAAAAAATTCACCGTCGTCCATTTGAAAAAGACAGAATGTTAAATGCTTTTTGGTTCCTACGTTGTCCTCCAAAGCTGATGCCAGTCCTCCTCGAGATTGTTGTTGAAACACAGCCCGTATTGAAGAAGAAAGATAAAGAAGATTCTCATCAGAAAGCTTAGCAGTGCCTGCATCTCAAATTGCTTAATAAAAATAATCCTATCTACCTATTCAATTACCTTAACTAATATATATTATTAATGGTACGATAGTCGAAAGTCCCCCTTCCTTCTCCCTCCTTGCACAGAGGCTCACCGACAGCCAGGGCACCGGATAGTAAACCATTGCCGTGCGGATAGTAGACTATTGCCGTGCGGATAGTAAACCATTTGCCGTCCGGAAGCCGTGCGGGTAGTAGACTATGGCCATGCCGCATGGTAAATCATTACCGTGCAGATAGTAAACCATTGCCGTCCGGATAGTAAACCATTGCCGGTTCACCACTGGCAACCAAGGCTTACCTCTGACAAGAGACTTTGAAATCCAGAGTCAATCGGCTATCGTACCCTCAACTTACCTGTTCATTACAATTAAGCCCTAGCTTACCTAAAATTACAAAACTCAAGAGCCCAATTCATTTAGCCAATCGGCACCCACCCCACCACCTACGTAATGCCTTGGGCTCCAACTTAGTAATAATAATATAAAACTTAAACCCTAAATCTATTAATGAGTATGTGTTACAACGTAGCCTTAACTTACCTATTCATTACATTACGGTCCTAGCTTACCTAAAATTACAAAACTCAAGAGCCCAATTCATTTAGCCAATCGGCGCCCACCCCACCACCTACGTAATGCCTTGGGCTCCAACATAATAATAATAATGTAAAACTTATATTAGCCTACCTATCGATACACTTACAGCGTTTTAATTTATATTACATCATTGCCCTTAATTACCTATAAAATTAAATTACTCTCAACCTTAGTAATAATAAATTAGAATGTGTAATGAAAATAAAATTACGCTCAAATACTAACATATGTGTTTATGTATGTATTTGTGTGTGCGTGTGTGTAATACGCTGATGCATGTAATGTTGGTG